CATCTAAGGTAGTCCAGTTACTTTTGGCTGCGAGATCTGGAGAGGTGATAGTAATGTCAATGCAAGTAGTACCATTGGAGGTGTTAATTCTAGTACCGTTTCCACTATTAACACAGACAAGATTGTGTTTGTCCATTACATTTTCGATGATATTACCATTTGCATCAGTCATTTTACTTCCCCAAAGGGAGTTGTGGCTGTTAAAGTCTCCACAAATAATAGTATTCTTACTTATATGATTTTCGATGTCGGTTAAAGAACCGTCCTTCAAAGTGAGACAAGGGTTATAAGCATTAATAATTTTTAATTTACTTTTATCACTATTATACACTTCAAGAACTTGATACTGGAAAAGGGAATTTTTGTCAGCAATGTTTTGAACAACGAGGGCTTTTTTGGTGAAAATAGCACATCCCCCGCCACAGGATTTAAGGTCAGGTTTCCTGTCCAATCTGTAAATGTTATACCCAGGAAGATTGAAATTCTTACTTTCTTTAAGCCATGTTTCTTGTATACAAATTATGTCGGGTTTGTCGTTCCAGTCATTTATAGCATGCTTGAGTTCATTTCCATGTGCAATAAGTGATTGTGCATTCTATTGTAAGATAAAGACCATGAGGATAAGATTCATGTTTATGTTTACTTTAACTTTCCCCTTTTGACCGATTGGATGTTTTCAATGCTGATTTGAAGTTTCAGGTTGTGAGGACTTAGCAGGGGCTTCTCTCTGTTTCGTTTTGGACTGAGAGGATTTCTTTTGTGTCCCCTGCGGGGATGTACCAGTGCTTGAGGTTTGTGTATGACGTTTTCTCTGTTTGTCTGATGCCTGATGTGTTTTGGTTGATTGATGGAATAAGTGATCAAAGAGAGACTTTATTTCTGATTCCCTACTTTCCTTATTTTTAGTTGATTCCCAGATTTGAAGTGTTCCAATAAGTAGTTCTATTAGCGAGTTATCTGCCAACAAATATGGTGAGATGGGTTCAGTTTGGCTAGCTACTGATACGTCTTCGGTTTGAGTAGAAATCTCTCTTTTGGACGACGGTTGCAGATTCTGTCTTCTTTGTTCACTGCTGACATGTACATTTTGTGTATTGTGCGTGTTCGCCCATGTTTTGTTTGGAGTCCAGGTTTTCAATTTAGGTGCTGGAGAAAGTGTGTCAGGCTTTTCAGCATGGACAGTGATGTCTGTACGGATGGACTTTGCTGCCTCAGCATAGGATATGTTGTAGGTTACTCTAACTTCTTGGATTTTCTTTTCTTCTCTAATGGTATCACAACCGGCATAGGCAGAGGAGTGGCTTCCACCACATCTGCTGCATTTGACTTGGTCTTTTTGTCACACTGATCGTACGTGTGAGTACCACTACATCGTACACATCTTGTTTTACTACGACAATTGTTTGCTGTGTGTCCAAGGCGTTGGCAGTTGAAACAGCGTATGACTGGTGGTATGTATGGCTTAACATCGAAGTATTGATAAACGAGTTGAATGCGCTGAGGCAGGTGAGGCGTGTTAAATGTGAGGCAGACAGAGAGGCTGTTTCCAGTGTGTCCATTTCTTTTGAAAGTTAGCCTTCGTGCATCCATGACACCGTCTTTTTTGCATTCCTTGAGGATTTCTTTATCAGAGAGTTCAAGCGGTACTCTAGAGATAACACCTTTACTTTGTGTTTT